TTCCTGTCCTTGGTCGGGGTCGTGTGAGAGGCCTTAAGTTGATGTGTCTCTCTTGCATTGATATTTCTCTCTCTCTCCCTCCCACTCTATCTGAAGATAAATAGAAAAATGTCCTTGGGTGAGAATTTAAAAAAAAAAAAAGGAAAAATATCTTCAGGTGAGGATTAACAACAACAAAACTAAAAAAAGAAATCAGCTATCAAGCCATGAAAAGACATGGAGGAAACTTACATGCATATTATTAAGTGAAAGAAGCCAATATGAAAAGTCTACATACCTTATGATTCCAATAATATGACATTCTGGAAAAGGCAAAACTATGACCACAGTAAGATCAGTGGTTGACAGGAGTTGGCAGAAAGGGTGGGATGAATAGGTAGATGCAATATAGGTAATTTTTTGGGTAGTAAAGCAACTCTGTATGATACTGTAATGTATACATTTGTCCAAACCCATAGAACGTACAATACCAAGAGTGAATTATAGAGTAAACTATAGACTTGGGGTGATTATGATGTGTCAGTGTAGGTCCATCAAGTCTAACAAATGTACTGCTCTGATACAGGGGATATATGGGGAATCTGTGTATCTTCTCCTCAAATTTGCAGTGAACCTAACTGCTGCTTTTCAAAAAAAAAAAAAAAAAAAATGCAGAAGTGAAAAGAAACAAGATTTGGTACAATTACAAAGTTTACAAATTATAAAAATTACAAAAATAATTGTGGAAGCTAGATGGTAGATATATGGTGTTTCCTTATACATATTTTTATGTGTATATTTTACTATTTGCTTTATGTTTAAAATATAATTGTTTCTTGCAGACATAAGTGGCCGAGCTGTCAGTTTAGCAGGAGGCAGAAGCGAAATATTCAGTCCCCTCTCCTGTGTGTTGGCAGGCGGAGGGCCCAGTAGAGGTGTAAGGTACCCCCAAGAACAGTTACAATGGCTCCTCCTCTCCCCACTCTGCTGGGAGCCAGATCTGACTGCAATCCCTATTTCTCTAAGATTTCTCCCTAGTCAGCTGGGGGGTTGGGCTCCTCTCTGCAGAGCCTGGGGCAGGGGTGCCACTTCCAGCTTGAGACTTCATATTACCGCCTTTTGTCAGGAGATTACAGGGACAGGACCACCAGGGGGATTAATCATTAGCCCCAGTCACCTAGACACCCAGGAAGTGAAAGTCCATCAGAGACACACAGCCCCTGGCAATAAAGAAACCTGGGGTTTGTCATTCCAAAGATGGATGCCTGGTGAACACCAGCAGTAGGTAGGGCCTGTCCACCTGGAGGGGCACTGGCAAGGCTCTGGTCGACATTTCTTTCTCCTGTTGATGCCTGAAATTCTACCATTAACATTGGACAGGCCCTCAAAGAGATGTCAGCCCCAAGATTTTGATTTTTCTTCCCCTCATTTGAGAAGCTAATGAAAGCAATGGAATTTACCACCTGCACTGACAGGTTTGCATACAATCTCAGGGTTCCACGGACATCCCTTCCCCCACTCCCCAGTCTATTCACAGACACCAGGTTAAGAACCCTGGGTAGAGTTTAATGGCTCCTGAGGTTTTATTCTTTGAACGAAGCACACTCCAGAGCCCTCTTTAAATGCAAATGACCCTGGGGTGGGGGGGTTTAAAAGACAACCAGTCAGTGTGAAAATTTTTCTTAGCAGAGACCACAGATAGCCTAAGAGACTTTAATGGTAGGGGGTGGGGAGGTTTCATGGAGACTCACAATTTTGCCTAGAACTGGGAAGGAAATGTACTGAGTGAGTCGAGTGCTAACAGCCAACTTTAGGGCACTTATAAGAACCTTGTGAATTAAAAGCTATCAACATCCTCACTTTATGGATGAGGTCAAATGACATGCTACCCAGCTAGTGGCAGAACGAGAATCTGAACTCTCCATCAGCCTGAGACCAAACGCCATCAGCAGCACAGGCTCACCTTCGCCAGCTCATTTGATCCTCAGAATGAGGCATCCTTTTTTGATGGAAAGGGAAACTAAAGCAGTTCATGGAAGGCCACAGTCACAATGCCCCACCTCCACAGGCCTCTGTGAGTCCTCTCCTCACTCTGGACAGCTGAGAGAGGGCAGCCCTTCATGATCAACGCCCTGGAGCTTGGAGAAAGACTTGCTGAGAAGTCTGAAGACAGCACCTCTCCAGACCTGTCCACACTGCCCCTAATTGTTTTCTAAAATCCTTTTTATTGAATTATCAGAGTGTAATGGAAGAGTCGATGTTAGTCACTGAGAAGTTATAAGGCCGGGGCTTGCTGGGCAAAGGAAAACAAAGCCCTAACGGCTCCCTGGCCAAGTGAAGGGATAAAATATGTATTTTTACATAACTGGGAGAAAAAAAAATAAACGAACAAGGCTGCCCCATGGGGGAAACGCCTCTTTCTGTATTTCCATTATCTTGTTTAATGCACAGTCCAGTCCGGCAGGAGCCTCAGTAGGAAGGAATACTGGAGCCTTTCCCCTCTGAGTCTCCTGGTGGGTTAAGAGGCAGAGAGAGCCAAGATGCAGAAATCCAAATGGCCTGGGCGTGTGCTCAGAAACCCATTAAAACTAAGGGGCAGATGGGGAAACCCATTAAACTGAGGGACAGACAGGTTGAGGGGAATTGAGCTGACCCTAAACAGTGTCTTGCTTTGAGACATTGCCTCTCCTCTGGGGTTGAGAAAGTAGCGTCAGTGGGCTCAGATTTACCTTTAAGCTTTGGGTGAAATATTCTAAACATGGTCTTTCCCATGTGGAAGGAAGAAAGGGGGTGGCCCTTTCCAAAAACTACCTCCCCACCAAACTTACAGGGCAGTTGCTACTAGGTGACAAGTACTCTGCTTACTGATTTTCTTGCATTAGCTCCTATTAACCCATTTGTACAGATGAGAACACAAACTTGCCAAGGTCATACAGTTAATGAGCAGCTGACTCCACACTGTTTTTTTGTTCTGATCATGTTTGGAAGTTGAAGGGAAAGATGGTGTCCTTGTCAGTGTAGCCAAACCATGCAGATGTGGTTGGCCCCTGGTAGTCAGACAGAGAAGCTGTCTGACCTAACATTTGCATGTCTATTCTTTTTTTAATCCTAAAATTATTGGGGACAGAATTATCTAGAGAAGGGTATGGTGTCTATGGTGTGGTGCTGAGAGTCCCAGTCTGGGGATCAGGAGATCTCAGATTCTAGTCTTGGCTTTTTTTTTTTTTAATCCTCACCCGAGGACATTTTCCCATTTTTTTTGTTCATATAGAGTGGGAGGGAGAGAGAGAGAGAGAGAGGGAGAGAGAGAGAGAAACATCAACATGAAAGGGACACCCACACGACCAACCAGGGCCAGGGACAAACTGCAACTGAGGTACACGCCCTTAGCGGGAACCGAACCCGGGTGTCTCTGGACCGCAGGCCAATGTTCTAACCGCTGAGCCAAACCGGCCAGGGCTAGTCTTGGCTTTGACATTGATTTGCTTTGGGACATTAAGAGTTATTTGCAAATAATAAATTTGAGTGATCTCTAACAGGGTTTCTTCCTGCCCTGGCCAGTGTGGCTTGCTTGGTTGATTGAGTGTCCTCTCATGCACTGAAAGGTTACCAGTTTGATGGTTTGATCCCAGGTCCCCAGGTCAGGATGTGTGCAGGGGGCAGCCAATCAATGTTTCTCTTCCACTCTCTTTGAAATCAATAAAAACATATTTTAAAAATATAATAAAAATAAAAGGGTCTCTTCCAGGTTAGCATTACAGAATAGACTGAAAACTGCAGCTCCAGCTGGCAGGCTTTCCAGGGCCACATGAGATGACGCTAACAGAAGAAAGGGCCCTGAAATAAGAGGAAGGTGGGTTCCAGTCCTCTGTAGTCTCCTACTGGCTTCAAATTCTTTATGCGTCAGTTGCCTGTCTATCAAATGGGAATAATAACACAGCTTTTGGGTTGTTTTGAGATGAGATTAAATGAGATGTCTGGCCGGTGTAGCTCAGTGGTTGAGCATCGACCCATGCTGGTTTGATTCCCGGTCAAGACATGTGCCCAGGCTGTGGGCCCGATCCCCAGAGTGGGGCATGCAGGAGGCTGCAATGTTCTCTCTCATTGATGTTACTATCTCTCTCTTCCTCTTCCTTCCTCTCTCTCTAAAATCAATAAAGGGAAAAAAAATTTTTTTAATGAGACAATGTCAAATGCTTGGCACAGAGCCTGGCACAGTAACTTCCAATGCCCAGCACCTATTGTCACTTCTATCTGTGCAGAGCTTTTTTTTTTTTTTCCTCACCAGAGGACATTTTTGCATTTATCTTCAGATAGAGCTGGAGGGAGAGAGGGAGAAAGAGAGAGAGAGAAACATAGATGTAAGAGAGACACATGGAGTGGTAGCCACCCACAGGACCCCAACTGGGGCGGAGGACAAACTGCAACCTAGGTCTGTGCCCTTAAGCAGGAATGGAAACCCGGACTCTCTGATCTGCCGGCTGATGCTCTAACCGCCGAGCGAAGCGGCCAGGGCAGTGTGCAGAGTTTTTACGGTGCAGGAAATATTGGTCTCATTAATTGTATGGCAACCTCACAACACAGGGAGGCGTTTGTGATTATTATTCCCATTTGGAAGGTGAAGAAACTGAGTCCTGTCCAATGAACTGATTTGCAGACATGAACCGGTGGAGACCTGCAGTTAAAAGACAGCTAAAGAGTAAAGCCCAGGTGTTAGTGAGTCACCCACTGCAAAGCTGGGTTCTAAGTAGGTGGTAATAGGAATCCTGGAGCCCCTGCACCCAACCCTCATTCTACCAACCACCCGCCTGCGGGTCACAAGGTCGGCGCGAGGCAGCGGGGCGGGATCAGGGGCGGGCGGTCCTCCCCTTGCCAGAGAAGGAAGCTGGGGCTGTGCCGCGCAGCTCATTGGCTGCGGCCCGCAGGTGCATCCTCAGCCAATCAGTCGGGCCGAGGGCGGGGACTTAGAGGCTCACCTGGCGGCTGCGGCGCTTCCCTACTCAGTGGCGTTGGGAGCCTTGGGTCACCTGTGAGTTCCTGGAAGTTCTGCCAGCCCTTAACCCGGCCGGACCCGACCGACCCTATCCTCGCCCGACCCACCATGGGCCCTCCGTGCCGCAGCCTCTCCGCGCTCTTGCTGCTGCTGCAGGTACTTCGGGTCCCCTGGCTTTCCGGGGGAAGCCTTCCGGTCCCACCATCCGCCCCTCGGTCCCCAGTCCCTTCCTCTCTTGTCGCCCTTTCCTATCTCCTGTCGTCCCCGCTCCCTTTTCTTCCAAGAAAGTTTGGGTCCAAAGGCCCTGATCGGCCTAAGCTGCGCGGCGCTCTGGCTCGGCAGAGGTGGGAGCGGGGACCGGTGAGATCCAGCGCGGCTTTGCCCAGCGCTTCCTCAGTACCCGAGGGGGAGGGGGGGGCGCGCCTCCCTGCAGGCTCTGGGAACTCGGGTTTAGCTGCGGAAAAGGCTAGGGGCAGAAGGGGGCGTGGAGCAGAGTGGGGGGAGGGGTCAGGATATTGAAAAGAGGATTCGCGGTGCAAATCCAGGGGGAACCAGGAGTAGTGGGAACGATCCCTGGGGTAACGAAAGGAGAATCAGTAGAAATCAAGGCACCTGCCAGGCAAAGAAAGGGTAGTAAACAGGTATGGGGGCGACCCCGGGATAAGAAATTGGGATCAAAAGTTGTTAGGACGCCCTCGGTGTGAGGAACTGGATTTAGGAACGGGAGCGTTCTCGGTATAAGGAAAGTGGAGTTGGGAAGAGCAAAGGTGCCTCCAGTGAAACTCAAGGAGACGGGAAGGAAAAAGGTGCCAGATCGGGAGGAGGTGACCCACCAGCCCCTCTCCCTGGTGTTCCCGGGGGCTGGGCGGCTGCCGGTCTCGAAATGAATTTGGTGTGGATGCCTGCCCAGGGCGGTGGGTGCCTCCCACAATCCCGACGCCGGGAGCGAGGGAGGGGTGGCACTGTTGGTTTCGGTGTGGGCTGGAGGGGACTCCCCCGTCACCCCGGTTCCATACTTTCCCCCACCCCAGGTCTCACCGTGGCTCTGCCAGGAGCCGGAGCCCTGTCATCCCGGCTTTGGCGCCCAGAGCTACACGTTCACTGTGCCCCGGCGGCACTTGGAGAGAGGCCGAGTCCTGGGCAGAGGTGAGGTCTTTAAGCCGGGTGGGTAGTAGTGGGAAAGGTCCGAGAAATTGCACTCCTACGTTTAGGGACTGGACAGGGGATGTAAATTCCCTTTGGAATTTACAGAGATGTAGAGATCTGAGCTTTGCTATGATTGAGCTTGAACTGTGGTTAAGGGGGCTACTCTGGTATGGTTAATTATGTTACATAGAGGGGGTACTTACTAGAGGCCTTCAGTGTGTCTCCTACTGTCCAGACCACTTTAGAGAGTCTGTCATTTCATACTGCAAAAATCTAATATGTAGGAAGGGCAGGAGGGAAGTGGTAATTTCGGAGTCACAGACAAGCAAAGGAAGGCTCAGAAGATGGAGTCCACTTGCCTAGGGTCGGCAGTGTGGGATTTGGAACTAGCTTCTTGCTCCCAGGCCCCATTCTGCACCATCTCTGAGATGACTGAGGAGCCCTTTTGTTCATAGAGATGAAAACATTTAGATACAGGTACTAGTCCCCCAAGGAATAATAAGGAATAATACACACACACACACACACACACACACACACATTATCAATTCCATAGTTTGAATTCTAGAGTTTGCTTTGTTTCATTTCACTGTTGCAAAGCAAGGGAAGGTTGGGAAGTTTGGGAAGTTTAGGAAGGCTGTTTTTTTCTCACCACACTTTCTCTCCCCTCTTGGTTTTAGTTGATTGGGCGAGTTACCATAACAATAAAAGAAACACTTTTATTCACCCACAATACCCCTGAGGGAATCAATTGTTTATTCCTCTACTCTCTGGCCACGTGAAAAATCTACAGCAATCACGCTGTTGTTTGAAACATTATTTTTGAATTTTGGAAGTTGTTCCAATAGTGGGTGGCATTTAAAAAAAAAAAAACCCAGAGAAACTGCAGCTTGATTGATTAAAACATATTTGCTTTTCTGAGGCCTGTGTGTGTTGTGTGGAGCTTTCTATTGGGTCAGGAAGGACATGTTTGCCTGACTTTTGCCTTTTGCCGTGGGTCTGCCTGACTTGGCTGGTCTCTGCTTGATGTTCTGCCCCACCCTGTGCTGGGCAACTGGGAATGAATTGAGATATAGAGACACTCAGCCCTGCCCTCAGTACTGCCTGTTCCAGCAGGTTGCTAAGAATGTCCCAGGACCAACTTAGAGGGTACAGGGGGACATGGGTATTTAGGTGCTTGGAATGTTTTGATGGGTATCAGTGGGAAGTGAGGATTGGCTTCTGGGAGGAGGCAAAGTTGAACTAGCCTTGAAGAATGGGTCAGGGGTTAGAAACAGGAGTGTGTGTGCATGGGGTGTTCCAACGTAAGTGCTGGTCACTTTGTTTTCCTGTATCAGGACATTTGGTAGTGCCAATGGTAGTTAGTCTGGTTTGTATCCCCTCTAACCCCCAAGCTCTTGTGTCTGACCAATAATAATATTATTACATATTAATAATTATTATTAATAGCAACATCTATTAGTCACTTTTTGTTGTTATTGTTGTTAATCCTCACCCAAGGATATTTTTTCATTGATTTTTAGAGAGAGTGGAAGGGAGGGAGGGAGAGAGAAAGAAAAAAACAGCGATGTGAGAGAGACACATTGATTAAGTTGCCTTCTCCACAACCAGGGCCAGGGATTGAACCTGCAACCTAGGTGCCCTTGACCAGAATCAAACCTGAGACCCTTAGGTCTGCTGACTGATGTTCTAACCGCTGAGCCAAACTGGCCAGAGCCCTATTAGTAACTTTTAACTGGACTCTGGGGCAAGTGCTTCACATATTTTACCTCATTTAATCTCCCCAAGAACCTTATGAGGGTGGGCATCATTGTTCTTCCTATTTTGCAGGTGAGAAGCATAAAGTAATTTAGTTGTCTGCTCAGGGTTTCCCAGCTGGTCTTTCTCCTGCTCTCTCTTCTGTAATCTCAAAAAGGAAAAAGGGTGCTTGGAGAATTAGCGTTCACTGTGAAGTAGACTTCATCTTCCTTGTGTGCCAGGAAGACCAGAGGTGTTGACAGGGTAGATCGGAGAGGAGGTGGTGGGAAGTGGAGGGGGCCTGCAGCTGGTGGTCTGGTGGGAGAGGTAGTCTCCACAAGCTGCTTGTGTGGCTGGTTCCAGTTTCCTTTATGTCCACATACCCATACCAACTCAACAGATTTCCTGACATGTCACTTTTGGGGGGCTTTTTGGATTATGGGGGGTCCCTTCCACCAATCCAATATGGAATTGCCCCCAGGACAGAAGTGCCCTTCTGATAAAATCACACATACAACCTCAGGAAACTGGATTTGTGATAAAAAAAAAAAGGCAGCCAGGGTTTAGGGAGGTGGCCTCACTCTCTGGACCATGTAGAAAATGGAGGGATGCCACATTACCACCAGGTTTAAACATTGGCTCCATGGAGAATTTGCATACAATCTCAAGGTTCCATGGGCACCCTCCTCCCCCAGCCTATTCACGCACACCAGGTTAAGAACTCTGGGTGGAGTTTAATGGCTCCTGAGTTTTTATTCTTTGAAAAAAGCACACTTTAGAGCCCATTGGCTCTATGGAGAATTTGCTGCATGGGAGTTTGAAAACAAGGAACCTGTCACTTTTTGTCCTCTGGTAACCATAGAGTATCACAAATAGTATTAGGTTAAATTCAGGGGACTTTGGGGTGGTTTGTTGGGGTCATTTCTGTGTCCCATGAAATCCTTGTATTTATTCTAGGTTCTAGAATGGAGAATGTTAAAAAAAAAAAAAAAAGACAAAAAAACAGCTGTAAACTGGTTCTTTAGTTTCTTTTCTTTCTTTCTTTCTTTTTTTTGGGTACGTGCCCCTAGCGGGAACTGAACCTGGGACTTTCTGGTCCACAGGCCGATGCTCCAACAGCTGAGCCAATTGGCCAGGGCTGGTTCTTTAGTTTCTGATTATTTTCCTATTTCTTAGCATAAATTGGTTTTCAGGTCTCAGATGTATCACCCTAGTGCACTCAGCTTTAAGTTGACTGGAGGTGGGGGGGAAGGAAGGCAGCAGGCTTTTAATCGGATGGTTTCCTTGCTTTGCTTCCTCTGCCACCTGGCCTTGAGCAAACAAGGCTTGTATTTTGGATCTGAGCTCTGGCTGCTTGATGGACTGACCTAGCTCATAGGGAAAAGACACCCATTCCCCTTTCTAAAAGATGTGCTGAAAGGTGGTGGGAACCTTATGCTGGCCCCCTAATTAAATGGGCTTTTAAAAAACAAATACCACCCTGGTTGGTTTGGCTCAGCAGTTAGAGCGTCCGCCCGTGGTCCAGAGACCTGGGTTCAGTTCCCACTAAGGGCACGTACCTCGGTTGCAGTTTGTCCCAGGCAGGGTCCCTTTCACGGCGATGTTTCTCTCTCTCTCTCTCTCTCTCTCTCTCTCTCTCTCTCCCTCCCTCCCTCCCTCCCTCTTTCTCTCCCTCCCTCCCTCACTCCCACTGTATCTGAACAAAAAAAAATGGGAAAATGTCCTCTGGTGAAGGGAAAAAAATAAAATAAATAAATACCTGCTTTGGGATGATCTTACATCGTCAGATCCCCACTCCCCCACCACTCAAACTCCTAACCAACTTCCCAGATTCCTGGGGAAGGGAACTAATGGGTCATCCTCCTGCCCTTGCCTTTGGGTCTCACTAGAGTGGAGGTCCTGGGCCCTGCAAGGCCATTTAAGGAAGGCTGGCTGCTCTTCTTCTCTGCCAGGTGATTATGGAAATCCCTGTTTGCTCTTCGGGGCTTTTTTATTGAGCCAGCCTTTTCTTCCGAAATGCTCACCTTGGTGTCTGTTACACATTCCCTTCCAAGTGTAGTCCGAGATAAGCCAGACACTGAAGCAATCAGCTCTCTCATCTCCCAGAAGCTGCCAAAACCCTAAAGTCCCCGAAAGGCACCTGTCACAATCCAAACTTCTGGGTTTCCACTCTGCCTCCACTCCCATCTCCTCTCAGGGCTTCAGACTTTTAAGGAGATGAATGAAATCAGTATGGCTGGTCAGGACAGCTCTGTAAGTACCTGAAAAATCCAGGTTTGAATTTTAGCTATTAGCTGTGTTACCTTGGGTAAATCAGTTTACCTCTACGAGCCTTAGTTTCCCCATGTGTAAAATGGGAGGCAAAAACAGAATTAAATGTTCACATTCATTCATTTGTTTAGTCAACAAATATACGAGTGCCTATTGAATGACAGCACTGGGCTAGGCCCTGGGATTACGTAATGAATAAAGCAGGTGTGGGTGGAACAAAAAGGCAAGTGGGACAAATGTAAAGAGATAAGAAAGAGTCATGAAATGGTGGCTCATATTTCTTAGGGACAGAGTAGGCACTCAAATACCGTTTGTCTTGAACAAAAGAATAAACAAATGAATATATATTTACTGTTTCTATACTTTGGCGTATCCTTTTCCTCTTAAACTCTGTGGCCTCAGGCCAGCCCTAGATGTTGATTGTAAATTGGCAGGGAAGAGTTGGGGCTGTGGCTCTTGAAGGTTTTTGATAAGTGTGTCCCGGGGATGCAGTATGCTGAGTGTTTCCCTCTGAAAGCTTGGGAGGGCAGAGAAGGGAGACCTCAAACCCGAATTCGGAAATGGAAGGGCAGTTAGTCATTTTTAAGTGTTTTTCTTTGGTCAATTAAAAATAAATTGGTGGTGGACTTTCTTTCTCCCTCTCTCTAATTTGTTTCCCATTTATATACCTCAGCTTATGCTTGGCAGGACTTTCCCTTCTCTTTCTGCACTTTTATTTATTTTTTTAATTTTTAAAATTGATTTTAGAGAGAGAGGAAGGAAGAGAGGGAGAGAAATAGAAACATTGATAAGAGAAAAGCACTGATTGGCTGGCCACCTCCTGCATGCCCCCCACGGGGGATTTGGCCCACAACCTGGAAATGTGCCCTGACCAAGAATCAAACAGGCAACCTCCTGGTGCATGGGTCTATGCTCAACCACTGAGCCACACCAGCTGGGCTCTTTCTGCACTTTTCCTCTTTCCTTTCCTTCCTCTTACTCTACCTCTAGTC